CCTCAATTCCATCATTTTAAAATTATGAAATGTCACACACATTTAATTGTAACACACTCACACTTTTTATTTATTTATATCAAAGTCATAAGGGATATTCACATTTTTAACATTGAAATGTCAAACTTCTTAAGAAGATTCTCAATATAATGATAGCGAAATACCGACATCCATCCTTGTGACTTTAATACTCAAAATTACCTTTATTATATTTATATATCAACTCAATATAGCTACTGAAATAAGCATATAAAAAATCCCAGCAACAAATAATCACCAATGCACCACTTAATGTATACACAACTTAAAAAAAAAATTATCACATTAATCTAAAAGACATTATAATTTAAAGTATTGCATACTAGCAGATTAATTCTTCATTTTAAGAAAATCGTATATATGCTCCACTATTTCATATTATGTAAAAGCATCCAAAAGTTACAAAACTTATTTTTTACTCACTGAGATAGGTAGTAAAAATTTAGCACAACGCCCCCACAATTTTAATTATTCCAAACTAAGTGCATAGCTCTTCTAAAATTCAATGATATCTGTTTTATGAAGATAATTTCTAGCTCAACTTTTATTTGCACACCAAGATTTTACCAAATCTCACCTTTAAATTTAAAAAAACATATTAAAATTTAGTGTATATAAAAATCATCATTATAATGTATGTAACATCATCATACCATTATAGTACGAAGGATAACACTCAAATATAACATCGTCGTATCACTCCAGTACAACGGATATTTCTCGATAAAATGTGTCATCGTTATACTCATTTAGTACAACGGAAAACTTTATAAAATATATATAACATCATTGTATCGTAATAATACAATGGATAATTCTCAATAAATTATTCCATCATTGTATTTCTTTAATACAATGGTTTAGCTCACCAAATACAATTTTGTATTTTCAATTTCATCTCAATCTTCCGACAATTTTGTCGGATCTCACACAGTGTGTTAAGTTTAATGGATTCACACTTTGAGCAGCAAGATAAATTTCTATAAAATGAACAACATCATACTACAAAATTATTCCTAAATCCAATTCAACATATCTCCGCACTCAATTAATAATAAAAGTGACACATAATATTTGCATCCACAATTTTTTGAATTTCACCACAAATCAATTAATACCCAGTATAATATACAAGTACGACGCATCTAAAAGCACAAGCACACCGCACACATGCACAATAATTATTGTACCTCAAATACCCCCACATTTTTCAATATATAAAATTAGATGCATAGACTTATCACATGATGAAAAATATTTTAGAAAAAAGTCTAGGATATACGAAGTATATGGTACAATATAAAGTCAATCATTTCCAAGCATATCCCAACGTAGGAGATTATGCATACACAATAAGCTCCATTTTTTTAATTACCTTTAAACTCAGTCGAAGTTAAAACAGCCATAAGATACTAAATACCGGATCGCCGGACCGTTAAATCTAATCATGTGCAGTAGCATATAATTCTTTCTTTTTTTCCTTGTGTAAGAATCAAACCTACAATTGTTTAGAAACTATAGATCACAATAGACCTTCTAACTTATACGTACTCCGTATACACAAATGAAAAACTAGGAGAAAACCAATCTTCTGCCCCAAGAATTTGAGAAGGCAAAAAAAAAAAAAAACTATTCTATGCCCAAATAGATGTAAATATATATACACACCACATATACACATATGATAGAGTTGGGCAAATAAAATTACCAGGAATACTTTTTGAGAAAGAATATTTATAACGGGAATAGTTATAAACACATACCGCAAATTTGATCATTTAGTGGGAGCTAGAATTTTCATTGCTTGTCTCAATTCAAGGAGAGTTTCACACACGTTGATAATTCCATAGGTGTAATCTTTATTCGCCATAATTCCTTAGATTGTTGGCTCTATTCTTCTAAAATCAACGTGGTGACCGTGTTACTCCTAAATTGACCTCGTTGACTATCTAGCTCCGAGAATTGACCTGCAAAATAATCACAAAAAAAAATACTAAAAGTATATTAGTGGCTCGAGACGCGTCAGACATTGTCCTAAGGAATTATTTCCGGCGTACGGAAATTTCCCCCAAGATATAACAAGCCCTTCGGTACAAGACCGGTAACAGAACTAACGAGAAGAAATTAGTATATGAACCCAGCAATCAAATTATAAAAGTCTAAGTATTGTATAACCAGTTTGTAGGCGTGAAAAGAATTCCAAAAGAACACTCATTGTGTTGTTCATCTCCTTTCAATGTTCACGGCAGAATCAAAAGAAATATGACCAATACTTCGATTTTATATTGAGTAGCCCTTTCATTTTGTTTTCTCACTATTTCTCACTTAAGAGCATGCTTACAATATAGATATATATACACGTATCCTATGGACATCCAAAAGCCAGCAAGTCATCATAATTTAATGATAATTAATAATATTAATGTTTCTCACAAAGGCATTAGCATAACGTTTAGAAAATAATAGTAACTTCAATGCTTTGGATTAAAGAAGAAATGCACCGGTTTCATTATGTTTTTAAGTGTTTGAATGTAAAATACAATTAATGAATTAAATTCATTTATATAATAAATTAAATGTAAAACTCTTATTCATTTGAAATATCGCCAAGATGTCCAACATTATCATCCCCATTGATAACCCACTAATAAGTAAACACAGCATGTCTACAATTCATATGATTGGTCTATATATCGTTATAAAAATTTCTATACTATGATGCCCCACTAATAATTTATGTGATTGATAATGAATTGATAAAGTGAAAGTAAAGTAGGAATAATTTAGAATCAAACTAACGTTACCAAATTTGGTATAAGACAATCTTAATGAGACAAACTAAAAAGGAAAAAAGAGACAATTTTAGTGTGACGGATGAAGTAGTATCATACATGGACTCTAATTTAATTTTATATCATATTTTTATACAATAAGTATGTATATACACATTTCTCATGAATTATTTTTAAAAATAAATTATTTCATCTCTTATCCGTGCAACGCACGAGTGGATTGACTAGTGTATATATATATATTGTTATTAATTTGGGATTTATCCATGTACTTAGCTTAACCCTACATATGTAAATCGTGGTGCATAAATACCCTCAACCTTTGAGGATTAGACGAGCTTGGTTTTGACTCTATTATTCATATTTTCTATTTCATGCGTTATATCCAAGCTTGGCATGGTATCAGAGAAGTGCATGAGTAGTGCCGATCATCACATTTTTTTAAACAATTAAGTTTGACTCCAGGCTGAAAACTCTAACAGGGCAATCCAAATCAAGAAAGCTTGATATTTTTTGGATTTGTCTTCTCTTAGAGGTCAACTTTTAACGTAATTACTTCGTGATGTGATTGGATATTAGATTTGATATTTTTGGATTTGTTTTCTTTTAGAGCTTCGTCATCTTCGTTCGGTTGAGACACCAGCGTGTGTTCATCACTGGCGAACATGACCAATCGGGTACCTAATTTGTGTTTTCCACAAATTACCCTCTTGAATTTTGCTTAATGTCAACGTTGGTTCTAATGACGGGATGTCGGGTATGTATTCTTCTCTTTAGTGGATCATTGACACTGGGGCATCAAATCATGTTACGGGAGATGCGTCATGTCATGTGAATCCCGTCTCTATTCATGCATGCCTGGTGGGTATGCCGGACGGATGATTGTGGCCGCGGCTCTCACTAGCCGAGTTGTTTTATCCCAGGACTTTGTTCTTCATAATGTTTTATATGTGGCGTGGCTTAATTGTCATCTCATTTATGTGTCACAATTAATGGATCAAATTAATTGTCTTGTCACTTTTACTCATAATCTTTGTGCTATACAGGACCTACCCTCGAGGAACCTGATTGGAGCAGGTGAATGACGGGATGAGCTTTTCTACTTCAGATGGGTACCGGTACGGTAGTGCATAATATCCAGACATCCGCATCAGTATCATAGTTCGAGTTGTGGCATCGTCGTCTGGGTCATCCATCTGATCGGGTTCTTAAACTTTTACCTGCAGTTAATTCTAGTTCTTTCTAGAAAAAATTGAATAAAGCTTGTGAGGTGTGCCCGCAGGCCAAGCAAGTTCGTGATTCTTTTCCTAATAGCCATAATAAAGCAAGTAAGATACTTGAACTTATTCATTGTGATTTGTGGGGCCCGTATAAGACCCCATCTACTTGTGATGCAGTTTATTTTCTTACACTTGTGGATGATTTCTCTCGTGCCGCATGGCTCTATTTATTATGTGACAAGAAGGAGGTTCATCAATTTTCTCTCTCATTTATTGCTATGGTTGAGAAACAATATGCTTTGTCTGTCAAAATTGTGCGTAGTGATAATGAGACTGAATTTAAGTGTTTGATTCCTTATTTTGATACCCATGGCATTTTATTCCAAACAACCTGTGTGTATACGCCCTAACAAAATGGGAGAGTCAAACGGAAGCACCGTCACATTTTAAATGTGGCTCGTGCATTGATGTTTCAAGCAAATTTGCCAATTCATCTATGCGGCGAATGCGTACTTACTGCTGCACACCTTATCAATCGAACTCCATCAGGTATTTTAAATGGTGAAACTCCCTATGAACTTCTTAATGGTGTCCCACCTGATTTTTCTCACCTGCAAGTGCTTGGTGGTCTGTGTTTTGCTCATAACATCAAATGTCGAGAAAACAATTTTTTTCCTAGGAGCCGGCGTGGAGTTTTTGTGGGGTATCCTACTGGTAATAAGGGATGGAAGGTGTACAACTGGGTCACGGGGGAAATATTTGTGTCCCGAGATGTGATTTTTCATGAGTCCGAATTTCCGTTTCAAGCTTCTCCTCCCTCAGCCCAGCAACCTTCTGAGGCCGAACCGATGCTGTTGGAGTTGCCTCCGGTGATTCATGATCCCGATCCTCCTATAGTTCTTCCTGGCCAGTCTGGATTTTCTGCGGTTGACGTGGGCTCGCCTGATCAGTCTTTGGTTCTTCAAAACACCAGTGCCACACAATCTGACAGTGCACCGCTTGGTCGAGGTCAGCGTATCAAGAAACCGTCTGTTCTATTGAGGGATTTTGTTACACATCATATCTGCCCGATAAGCCCATCCCCGCGGTTGTCTTCCTCTCCTGTCAGCTCCTCAGGTACGCCTTATCCTATAGCTAATTTTGTAAAATGTGACAAGTTTTCTGTTGGTCATCCTATACGCCTTATCCTTATCTTGGAGCACTTCTTGCAGTATGTGAGCCATGCTCCTTTAAGGAAGCAATGACCGATGCTGGTTGGCATGAAGCCATGCAGAATGAAATTCGGGCTCTTGAAAATAACCACACTTGGGTTATGGAGTCACTTCCGCCAGGTAAAAAGGAACTTGGGTGCAAATGGGTATACAAAATTAAATACCATTCCGATGGCACTATCGAACGCCTCAAAGCTCGTCTTATTGTCTTCGGTAATCACCAGCAAGAGGGCATTGATTACACTGAGACGTTTGCTCCAGTAGTCAAAATGGTTACTGTGAGGTTATTTTTAGATGTGGCGGTGATTAAAAACTGGGAGCTACATCATATGGATGTTCATAATGCTTTTCTTCATGGTAACTTACAGGAGGAAGTCTATATGAAACCTCCTTCGGGCTTTCTTTCTTCTCGGCCGGGACAGGTGTGCCGGTTGCGGAAATCTTTGTATGGATTACGTTAGGCTCCTCGTTGTTGGTTTGCTAAATTGGCTTCTGCTTTGAAAACTTATGGGTTTCGGAAATCTTATTCTGATTACTCACTTTTCATGTTTTGTCGGGGATCTGTCTAGTTATATGTTCTTGTTTATGTGGATGATTTGATTATTGGCGCGCAGGAATGATTCTTTGCCTATCTCTCAGTTTAAATCATATTTGCATATATGTTTTCATATGAAGGATCTTGGTTTGCTGAAATATGTTCTTGGAATCGAGGTGGCTCGCTGCGCTGATGGAATATTTCTCTGCCAGCGTAAATACATTTTGGATATCATCTCTGAAACTGGTCTTCTCAGGGCTAAACCCGCCACTTTTCCTATAGAACAAAATCACACCTTAGCTCTATCTCAGAGTGATGTTTTTAGTGATCCGGAGTCTTATAGACGTCTTGTGGGACGATTAATCTATCTTTCATTTGCACGTCCAGATTTGGCATATGCTGTTCATATCTTGTCTTAGTTTATGCATGCTCCAAGGCAGGATCACTGGACCGCAATTTTGCGGATCGTCCGTTATCTCAAAGGCACTCCATCTTAGGGCATCCTTTATAGCTCTACCAGCAAGCTCGAGCTCACTGGTTGGTGTGATTGAGATTGGGCTAGCTGCCTGCTTACTCGACGCTCCCTTACTGGATGGATGATTTTTCTGGGTGACTCTCCTATTTCATGGAAGACCAAGAAACAGCATACTGTCTCTCGCTGTTCTACTGAAGCTGAGTACCGGTCCATGGCTGCTACCACAGCCGAACTAAAGTGGGCTCGGGGCCTCCTACTTAGTCTCGACATTCCTCATTCTCAGCCTATGTCCCTCATCTGTGATAGCCGGTCTGCACTGCATATAGCACATAATCCAGTTTTTCATGAACGTACGAAGCACATTGAGGTGGACTGTCACTATGTTCGGGATGCTATTCAGGAAGGTTTGCTCGTTGCACGTCACTTTTCTACATCTGAGCAACTCGCTGACATCTTCACCAAGGCTTTGGGCAAGCAACAATTTCTCTACTTACTTCGCAAGTTGGGCATTTTTGAACCTCATGCTCCAACTTGAGGGGGGGGGGGGGGGGTAGCTGATTATATATATTGGGCTCGGCTCATATGTATATATATTGTTATTAATTTGGGCTTTATCCATGTACTTAGCTTAACCCTACTTATGTAAATCGTGGTGTATAAATACCTTTAACCTTTGAGGAATAGACAAGCTTGGCTTTGACTCTAGTATTTATATTTTCTATTTCATGCGTTATATCCAAGCTTGGCATATATAGTGTGCATCATCCTCTATATTTATAGGTCTAGCCAGTCCTCCCAAAACTTTTTAGGACCGGTGGTTCTGGATCCGGAACCAGTCCGAAATGGGACCATGTCTACCTTAATTCTACCAACGATTCTAATGATAGGGTTAATTATTTTTGTTTGTTAATTTTGACCTTATATTTTGACAATATATATGATAGAATGTACTCATGTCCCAATCCCTTCTTTTGGTTATTGTATCCAAGAGGGAAATGTTCTTTTGGGGGCTGGGATTAGGTCTTGATCTGCCCCCTACTTTCTTGTACTCAACTGGTTTGATTTCGTTAATAAAATATTCCGTAAGGATTATGATGGAATGAGTCTAACGACTATCACATCAGGGGCGGAGCTAGAGCACTAGGCCGGACTGGGCCGATACAAAGAATATTTTTTGAAAATTTTTTACACGAAATTTTTTACACTAAAAATACAGGCACTTTTAAAATTTGGGCTGGGCCAGGGCCAGGGATGGCCCTCCCATAGCTCCGCCCATGTATCACATGCACCATTCACACCCTCGGGTGGATCTGTTCCCAGGACGGAGCCAGGAACCAGTGTCAATGGTGTCAATTTAACAAAGTACTACGAAGTATTTTTTTAAGCAGAATACTACTACCTCCGTCCCACTATGTTTGAGAGAATTCGGTTTATGATGTTTGGCCAACGATAAAGCAAACTGATCCCAATATGCACTCAAATTATTTTTGGAAAATAAAATTCACACATTTAGAAACTACATAAAAAACTTTATGAAGACGCAAAAACCAGAATCAAATTTGATATATAAAATAAAGGGAAAATTGTACTTTTAGTCCCTGAAATAGTCACAAAAATGAAATGTCGGAACCTTTTAATTGTTTAGTTGCAATTTAATTTTCCAAACCACCAATCTCGCACAATTGCTTTTATTTTATTTCTTTTTAATCGCTGAATTTAGTTAATTCTTATTTCCCTTTTGTTCGTCCCTATGGAGACGATACTTTCGTACTTTCACCACTTTACTACTATCATTTTTAGTGCGAGAAAATTCACATCAGGAAGTAATTTGTTTACTTAGCATATATAAGTATGCAATGGACCAATATTAAAACACTACATATTAAGTCCAGCAATCACATTAGAGAAAACAAGGATCCTTTCCATAAAATATTAAGCTATATTAATAAGTCGATGCCAAGTTATGTATGGAAAGAGAATAAATGATTCATGTTATGTATATATGTGTGTGTGTGTAGAATATGCAAAGTTATGATCTTGACAAATAGATGGCTTATTAAAACAGGTGGGCACTTAAGCAAAGTATAGAGTACTTGATAGATGGCTTATGAATATCAGCACTATCTAAACATAAAATCAGCAAAATTGGATGCATATTATAGAGTACTTTCCCAAATTTTAAAAATAGGGTTTAATTCACTCTATACTTATGTGACACGACCAAGAAACAGAGCAAAGACAATCTATCTTATTGCTACAAGTGCTTATTTATCTAAACTGCATATGAAATATTCAACTCAGACATCATTTAAAAACAACCCACTATTTTCATTCTGTATATATGTTGAGTTTCGACCTCCCCTGACCTGTTTTTCTGACTCCGCCACTAGTTTCAGGGCTAAGAAAACTCTATTAGCTAGGGCTGTGACTTTGGAACCAAGAACCGGAGAACCGAACCGGACCGAACCGTTATGACCCGGTTCGGTTCGGTTCCAAAATTTATTAGTTATTTGTTAATGGTTCGGTTCCTACTTTTTATTAACGGTTCGGTTCTCGGTTCCTGTAAAAAATATGTATGTGGAACCGTTAAAGAACCGTTATATATAATAATTAAAATTATATATATTTCTTATTAGTATATGTATTTTAATGTATATTTACTTATTTATTTTCATATTACATTCACTATTTTAGTTTAGTTATTTAACTATTTGAAATTATTTTTCATTTAACTGGTTTTATTGGGCTTCTTTACCGAATATCTTGTTTTGTTTTTGTTTTCTAAAATTTGCAGTTTGTTATGTATTTATCTTTTAAACTCAACTTTTGAGGTTTGAAATGAAATTCAACATATTTGTATTGTAATTTCATGCGTTGAATGTATTTTTGACACAAATTTAACCGTAATTTGTAAGATTTTTTTAAATACTAGGAACCGTGTTAGAACTTTTATTGTGGGTCAAGTTTGTCTGTAATGTCTTGTTTAAATAAAGTAGACTAGTTATACCATTTATGGTATTAGATTAGTATTTATTATGTAGCAAATAAGGTAAAGGGAATAAGGCCCAAAAAGGCCTTGGCCCAACTTCCAAGGTTTACCTAAATCGGTAACCTGTACAGCGCCTATAAATACGCGCCTTGTGTACAGGTACCGATATCGATCAATACACATTAGCCTTACGCTGCCAAATTTACTTCTCGATACTACAGAAAGAAGGTTTCACTGTTCTCGATAAATCTTATATCATTATATGAAATACTTCTCTTCTGTCTATCGATGATGTTCATCTAGCTGATCGTTAGTCTGCAAAACTGGGACCAACAACTGGTATCAGAGCCTGCTCGAGTGTGATCGTCGAAGAAAAGTTTTCGAAGTTTCTCTGTTTTCATACTTTTCGATATATTTCTTTGTAATCACTGTAATCTTGTTTCTGATCGATAAACTGTAAAAGTTATATCATTGGTTTCGCCATTCAGAAACGAACCAAGGGTATATCTTACTTTTTAATTTCAGTAGATTCGGTATTTTTGATTTCTCGATAGTATGAGTTCGAAAAGCAGGGTTCTCGACATTTAAGCAGGTTTTTCAGGACGATAACTATACAGGAAGACTCTCGAGATCGAAAACTTCACAGAAAAGTTGTTTAAACTGTTTTAATCTGAAACTTTGATTTGCAGGATTTCGATACTACGTTCTCGATACAAGTTCTCGAACTGAGTTCTCGAGAATTGCTTTCTCGACACTCAGTTTTCGATACTAAATATCTAAAACTCTGTTTTTTCGAATTGGAGGTTCTCGATACAGCTTCTCGACACTCAGTTCTCGAAACTAAGTTCTCGAACTTAGCTTCTCGATACTGAAGTTCTCGATACAGCTTCTCGACTCCTGCTTCTCGATAAACAGTTTCTCGATATTCACTATCGAAAACTGGTTCTCGATAGAACTTCTCGAACCCTAGTTTTCGAATTTCTTTCTTGAATTAGGTTTTCGACATTCTGCATCTTAAATTTTTTTTCTGATCAAAACACTCGACCGATCTGTTAAGGCTCAATCAGCAAAGATGGAAGCATTAGCACTTGGAAATGACAACAGACCACCCATCCTCAGAAAAGGAGAATATCAGATGTGGAAGACAAGATTCTTGAACTTTCTGGAAGGGAAAGACAATTCATCTGCCATGCTTGAATCACTCACACAAGGTCCTGCTGAGATCTATACTGATGTAGATACCTCAGATGTAAACAACCCCCCTGTCAACTATGTGAAAAGATTGAAGACAAAAGGCGAATACACTGAGGCTGACAGGTTGAGAATCAAAGCTGATCTCATGGCAAAAACTTACCTGCTGCAAGCTATTCCCAATGATATCTACATTCTGATAGACAGCATGGAGACAGCAAAGGAAATGTGGGATGAGGTGAAGAAGTTAATGATTGGAACTGATCTTGGCTTGAAGACAAAGAAAGCGAACATCTTGACCGCCTATGATGCTTTTAAAGCCCTACCTGGTGAGGCGCTCCATGAGACGTATAACAGATTCGTACAACTGATCAATGAGATGAGAAAGATCAAAGTTGTCAAATCTAACATGGAAATGAACATACGTTTCTTGTCGAGCCTGCCGCCAGAATGGAGAAGAACTGTTAAGAATCTACGACAGCACCTAGACTTGGATGAACTTGACCTCTGCACTGTCCATGAACATCTACAGCAGTTTGTTAATGACACTGCTGAGATGGAAGGAAGCTTCTCCGCTAATCCTTTAGCACTGATGATTGAAGCTAAATCAAAGAGTTCATCTAAGGGTCCGAAGAAGAAGAAGGCAGTCAAGATAGAGTCAGAAGAAGAAGAGAGTGAAGAAGAAATGGATGTTGAATCCGAGCTGGCCGATCTACAGAAGAAG